TGCCATGGAGACCGTAAATCACTGTCGTGCTGGGCTTCTCAGTCAAGGAGCCAGTGTCTTTAATTGCACTAACCTCCCCTGCAAATCCAGGGCTTGGTTCTGAGCTTGTTGACCTTCTGTAATGGCTTTGTCCCGGGAGCTCTTCCTTCAGGACAGCACAGCTGGAACCAGGGAGAGGGGTGCCAACACACAGAATATCAGCTATCTGGGGTCCATTTTATTATTGTCATATGTGGCCACAACTCTGCTCAGATGAACAGAAATTGCAATGATTTACAGAAGCTGAGATCTGACCCACTTGCATTCAGGGCAAGTTTTGCAGTGAGGATGGAGATTAGATATACTGTGTGTATTTTGTGGCTACCTGTTTCAGCTTGGTCATCCAGTCACAAACAAACTGAATTTGGGGGTTTTATGTTACTTGGCTGCTCCAAGGGGATAGCTCAGCCCTTTCACTCCATCCCTGGGTCCAGACAGGTAAATGGGGTTTTATGTGGTTTATTCTGTGTCCATAAAAATATCATTTTAGCTGAGGAGGCTCATTCTCAGTGATACTCTTGGATCAGTGTTTCTCTTCTTTGCTTGCTATCTACCCTGGAAGTAGCCACATTTCTGACTGTCTCAGCATTACTGGCTTATGCTGTCAGGACACCAATCTTGCCAGTGCAAATAAAGATGGTGATATAAATCAGCCTCCTTCCAGTGACTTACCCAGAGCCCTGATGGCATTTATCAGTGTAGGGTATGGATCCTTCTCTTGGCTCCTTCAAAATAAACATCTATATAAATTGTAAGATGATTATCATCAGAGCTTATTAGCGTATTACCACATGCTGCTTTGTATTCAGACAATAGATAAAAACATTTGTGTTTCATTTTTCCCAGTCAGATCTACAGCAAACACGCTTATTCTTGCTCCCATCTGAGGAGGACTGTGTCAGTACTCTTGCCAAAAACACATGAAAATCAGCCCAAGTCTTGTGCAGTTGCCTGTAGCGACATAACGAGCTGGCACAGAAGCTCTGTGCACCTTTGGGAGTGCTCAGTGTTTTCCAGGAGGTAATACATGTTGTTTTAAAGGTTTGATTCATTGGCTGGTTAAGATGATAATCTTGTCAAGGCATGAGTTGTCTTCTTGCTTTGCTTATCAGGGCAGGTGGAGGGATAGAGGGACTGAAGTAGTTGGCTTTCAGAGGGTTTTCGGTTATGTACCTGCATGATGGGAGCATGGGACTTGCTACCTCAGTAGAAAGAGGAGGGTTTCCATGAGCAGTAGAAACAATCCTGCAGAAACATCTAGACTTGCTGCTTTTTGACACTCAGTGGAAGTTTTCATCTGTTCATGTTAGCATACAGGGGGTTGTGCTCTACAAATCAGACTGCACTTATTGACTTTTTTTTTTTTTTTTTTTTTTTTTTTTTTTTTTTTTTTTTTTTTTTTTTTTTTTTTTTTTTTTTTTTTTTTTTTTTTTTTTTTTTTTTTTTTTTTTTTTTTTTTTTTTTTTTTTTTTTTTTTTTTTTTTTTTT